TGGATGATGTCAAGCGTAGCGCCTCTCACCCATTAACGTAACGGCCTAGTCATATCATCCAGGGACATCGCCACAGTTCAGCCACAGTTAATTAGCCGGCGCGGTAAAACCAAGCTCCGCTCCGGCCCAAATTATCCACCATCACCATGCAACAGCTCCAACGGTGAATTTGTCGCGGCCGCCAATTGCAAGAACTCACCCATCCCGTATCAATTGCCGCCATGGTCGTCAAGATCCGCCTCGCCCGCTTCGGGCGACGCAACTCGCCCTTCTACAACATCGTCGTGGCCCACGCCCGGTACGCCCAAGCTGCCCCTCCCACGAAACCACGGATGGATGCTAACATTCTAGGACTGCGCGCAACTCCCGTCCCCTCGAGGTCATCGGCACCTACGACCCGATCCCTAAGCCCGACCACTACGGCGACTCCGGCAAGCTGCACAAGGACATTCAGCTGGACTCCATACGGGCACGCTACTGGATCGGTGTGGGGGCTCAGCCGACGGACACGGCATGGCGGTTGCTCTCCATGGCGGGAATTGTGCCCAAGAAGATCTTTGGTCCTAAGAAAGACGAGGGAGCCAAAACAGTCACGGCCGCAAATGTGCGAGTGCGATGAGTGCAACGATGTCAGGGCGCAAGACGCAGGTGTATGATATGTAAAAGCATTTCAAGGCGTTGAATTGGGTACGATGCATGCGGGGACTTAAGCGGAACCAACAGCATCATAGGCCAGACTGAAGAGACCGGCCCCGAGATCCCATCTGTCCATGGCTATTCAGATCGGGCTATGCGGTAGCTGTACAATATTTCACCGGGGGCCAAGGATCGGCTCATCAAGAAACGCTATCAAAACGGAGAGTTGGATGTCATAATTAGACACTTATATTGAAACATGTACCCTACCTAAACCAAAATCTAACACGAACGCCAGACCTTTATTGAAAAGCGACTACAAACTCGCTGTCAGGACGCCTCGTATGCCACCAAGGACTATCTCGTAGCCAACATGTATGTGATGCTCTCTGATGCGGTCGTGAAGAAAAATGAAAGTCTAATGAGTGGCAGAAAAGAAAATGTTGAGGATCAAGCAAACGGTCATCACTATCATTCCATATATCGCAAGCGCAAGCGATAGCCGTCGAAGGTTAGAATGGTGAATGTGCTCGAGGTCCCATCGCCACTTCTTCCGCCAGCGCCATGGGTTTGTAGCGCTGTTGGTGCTGAGGTTGCTGGCAATACTAGCAACACTGTGGATGCTGGTGGTGCTTTGGGCTAGGGCGGCAGACTCTTCAACATCGGATAAGGACTCCTCGTCCATATCGTCATCCTCCTTAACCAAGCGCTGGTGATAACTGCTATCAGGATCACTAATCTTGTAGTAGAAGAGACCTGGCAGGATGAAGCTGATCGATGTTGATCCGGTACTGCCCACAAAGGCCAGCACACGGGCTAGGCTGGTAACTGACAAGGCGGTGAAATACGCCAGTATCAGGATAAATGTAGTGATGATAGCGAAGCGGAGGTCGGACATTGAGCCCCCGCCATGATCACCTCGGGGTGCAGCGGCACCTGCATTCAACAGCGGTGCCGCGGTCCGTCCGCTGCCGGATTGGGAGCGGTTAGGCCGCCACTTCATGACGGCATCAAGAGAAGCTCGGCAAGGATGAACCTGTAGCGGAACTGAGAAGGTAACTAGAACGACAATAGCCGCCTTGCCAATGGTTGATGCAGCTCCGGTGGGGTCTGAATCATATTAGCATTGCACGCACAGGCATTGTTAAGGGCTGTTTGGGACGTACACATAGAAACAATGTTCCCAACGACGGCATTGCCGAACGTGATGTAGCCGGTAATAGCCACCAAGATGTAGATAGAAGCAGCAGAACCAATGCTCGATCCAATAACTCCAATGATGCTTGACGGAGAGTTGTCCTTAAGTTCGTTCAATATGGAAAACATCTGGAACAGATTAGCCATGTCAATATAAGAAGCCAAGCACGAGAGACAAACATTTTGGTGGCACGTATAAGCAAACACTACCACTGGTAGGGCGCTGAACATCTCAACAGCCCCTCCCCACTGAATGACTCGAATGCTGCGGGGGTCGGCATGCTTATCCGCCGCGAAATGATAGACGACCAAGACGATGAGGTATCCAATGGAGACCAGGGCCACGATACTGGTATATTTGAGCGAGTCGAGTCTCCGCAAGAAGCTCAGAGGAATAATGAAGAGCATAAACGCAGTAATCCAAAAATTGCGGTCAACGAGAAACGGGATCTCCGCGGCTCCGCTAGCGAAACCCAGGATAACGCCTGGCATCAGGTCGCCAATGATGATCATGTACGAAACGCCAACGCCAAAGCACTTGATAGCAATCGCAGCATCGAATATAACGGCAGCATTGGGGTAGGTGATTTGCGAAAGGGCGAAGAAAGAGGCGGTTCCTCGATCGAGATATCGAGCGCATCGGGACTGGAGGTAGAGGCCAAAGGCGGAGGTCAAGCCGGACCAGACAATCATCAAAACGCCGAGCATGATGCCCATGTGCGACATGACCGAAGGCATAGCAAGCGTGCCCGCACCAACAACTGCAGGTTTCGGTCAGTAAAAAGCTGGCTCTTTGGGCCACTTCTCGACGCACTCGTATTCATCAGGTTGACCACGCTGCTCGCGGTCGTGGCCTGGCCGCCATGGCCGCCATCCTTGTGTCCGCGGTGTCGAGTTCTACAAGGGAACTCCAGTCAGTATCGCGGATCCCCAAGGCGAGCGTCTCCGGCGAGCGTCTCCGGCGATTGAGCGGCCGTGTCTTACCTAGACATGACGCCGGCACTTGTCGTGGTAGAAGCGTTTCCATCAGGTATGCTCGAGTAGTTCGTCATGTGGGCGCAAATCGTCCTCGCAACGTCGATCGCGTATTGAATCTCGGTGGCGCAAAGAATGCGATGAGGGCGGTTTTTGCGTTTGGGTTCTGGGATAGCAATAGATAGCAGCAGAAGGGATCCCAAGGGTTGGGTTGTCGGAGAGAGCGAGGGGCGAGGCCAGCAGATGGCGTCAATTGCCTTGACTAGTGCCGTGCTGTTGCCACTGCACAATCCACCGTCCCGCGGCACAGAGGCCGAGAAAGTTGCTTCGTCCTGTCGCGAAGGGGCCGGAAAGGGAGTCGTAGGTCGGTGGCCCGCGCAGTTGTGGTGGTTGAGGGAGGATGAAAGACGGCCGGTGGTTGTTGTGTCAGGAGACGACGCTGCGCTTCCAGGAATTCGTCGCCTGGGTTTCTGGGCCACGATGCTCCTTTGATGACACCGCCCAGCACTCGATGACAGGTCAGCGGGGCCGCCGAGCACATGCCTGAGCACGCGCCCAAGCCGGCAAAACCCTCCGCGAGACCAATCAGAGCCCCCGCCGTGCGCGGGCCGGCTGGGGGGCTTCACGGGCTTCAGGGGAGTTATAGTGGGCGCTGGTAGTGACGTCCACCGCAGTTTGACTGCCCAACTCCCTACCAGGGACAAACTTTCAGTGCTTCCATCCAATTTCCATTGCGACGAGGCACACCGCCAGGATCAACTGCCCCCCCATGTCCCGGCCTCATCTGCGACAATACGCCATGGCTCCACACATTTCACTCTCCCATTTTGACAGTTCATGACATTGACAAACTTCCTGACCTCCCGCTTCGGCCCTTGTCGACGGCCTCTCCAGTGGCCCTGACGTCGCGCCGTCTTGCCATTCCACCGCTACCAAGTACAACACAGCCCCCTTCACGGCCTCCGCCGCCATGGACCAGACCACGCTGTCCACGCTCGACCTCCTCGAGTCGCGTCTCCTGCGCGTCGAACACCTCCTCTACGGCCAGACTGCATCGCCCTCCCTTACCCAGGACTACTCTGCCGCCGAAAAGATAGCCGACCTTGAGAAGCGCTTCTCGACCTTGACTTCCAAAATCCGCGTCTACGGCGAGCTCCTCAAGATCTGTACGATGCCCTTAATAACGATACCCCTCGATCTCGGTTCATACTCAAATTGTTCCAGATAAATCACACCCCGACTTCTTTCATGCCGCCGACCCTTCCGATCCGCCGTCTCAGCTCTCTACCGATGCCGTCCAATCCATCGTCCTCGCCTCTGCCTCTTCGTTTCCTTCCATACTCTCCTCCCTGACAGCAATCAAGGACAGCCCGATCCCCGATCCATCTGAAAGCACTATCCTGATTGCGTTAGGAGGCCGGATGAAGGCTGCCGAGGCCACCCAAGTTGCACAGTTGGCCGAGATGGCCGAGTTACGAAGACGAAGCGAGAGAATCATCCGATCTTGGTACGAGAGCGGAGTCCTCCAGAACTCCAGCCTCATGGCTGGCCTGGAATCCCGGGTGGAAATGGTCGAGCGACAAATCAGGAGAGCAGAGAGGGAGTTGGATGAGGAAGACGACTTATGAAGTGTTCAACCATACCTTGTTGAACCAAGCTATTTGGCTTGGATACCGGCTATCCAACTTTATTGCCGATGCCCTGTAGGAAGACGAGGAACGCAGGCACTAAGCCGAGGATTTGAGTTCCAGATGGCATTTGAGCCATGATTGGTGGTCTCGGAAGATGGATTACTCGGTGGGTAACACGAACGTACCCAATACCACGCGAAAATGCAATCATGATAGAAGTACGGAGTAGTCATCTATGAAACACGACGCTCTCAGTAAGCAGTTATTGTCAAACAATAAGAGAAAGTTGAGACATTTCACTTTGTACGAGACGAAGGGATCACTCGTAACATTTGCGGGTGAATAGCATTCCAGAGAACGGAAACACAGGTACCTGATCGCATTGCGACTTGATCTGTCTCATATCTATATGTTTGCGTCTGCAATCATTTCAGAGTGCTGTTTTACACTTGAAGGTTTTCCACACGAAGAACTTCGCAAACAACAATTCAATAAATGTACGAAGTCACATCACGCAGCCGACATAATTTGTAATATTGAAGCCGGAACGCAAGAACTCATCCCCGAGTAGCTCAGCTGGAAGAGCGTTCGGCTGTAACTGCCTCTTTCGTTACCGAAAGGTCACCTGTTCGAGCCAGGTCTCGGGGATCGAACAATACTTTTTGGCTCAATCAGTAAATGACTTTATCATCTTCAATCGTTCTTTAAGTTGTTCTTTTTTGGCCTTGCCCTGCCTTCAATTTGATCTCATATCGTCCAAGTTTCCCAGCCGAAATAAGGCAAGCACCACAACTATGTTCTCTCTGGCAAGCGGAATACAAGGCACTGAACCTACGATGCAAGTCGAGAGTGTTGAGTGAGAGAGACTGCCACCTAGATGCTTAGCAACAGCATCGATCGCTTGACAACCGATATCATAGTGAAGCTAGTTTATATTATAGGTATCCCACAGTTATACTTTAGGCAATACGAACATGCTCATTATGAATCAGTGCGTGAAGAAGTAATGCTAGATCTTGATCAGTTTGTTCAGAGGAACAAACCACATTTGAATCCACGAGGAATGTCTAACTATTAACATCAGTTCATTCCTAATAAATGGTCGACTGTGCAATGTAGCCAGTAATAAGCTCTCGGCATCTAGGCCCACAAACGCGATACATATCTAGCAGTTGGAACTCCAAACTTATTACCCATCGTCGTATGCTCAATACTTGAACTTGACAGCCACGCCCTTGCAAAATATAGTTGATATATGTATGCCATGCAAGGATTTTCTACATAGTCTCAGGAATCTAAGCCGTCGGCTACCGGGTTTGTGCTGGATATAATCAGCTCGTGGTTCCTCCCAGCTTTCAAATGTTACTGCCATCGGCAAGAATCCCATCGAGATCGATGCCTCGCGTATTCAGGGCGACATTCAGATATATCTCGTCGTCAGGATTGAGGTGCTGAGCGTCCAGGTGGATGGTCAGATTCATCGCGTCGCCGGTGACGCCTCTTGTCTTGTGATATCGTGCCTAAAGCGGTCCACAAGGATCGTAAACCTCATCCAACTATGATCACATTAACAACACTACTCAATGACAAAAGAAACATCATCATCATTGAGGCTTTCGGACACTGATTCTTCTTGCCTTAAGGACAGACGCACATAAACAGAAGTTCCCTCGCGACAGCATGCAAGTTAACGCCAGTTCGCTTCTGAATGCTTCCCCATGAGATTAAACTGCCTCTCCACATCAGCATGTCCGGGGCTTACTCCAAGATTACATCCAGAGGAAGCCACGTGGGCTTGGACGAGACCAGTTTCTCATTGATGTAATGGCCTACCGCTGTGAGGCTGCTGAGTTTGTCGATTCATGATCACGCGATATAACCCCACGCGTCCATTTGGGCAGAGATGTCTCGACTGGGACAAAGACAACTGGTGTGCCTAACATCGAACAGATAGTCCGAGATAGGTGGACAGTTACCACCAAGTAAAGGAGGAAGACTTCATTCATCAGAAAGAGCACTCTCTACGAAGGATGATAGTTTTGCACGAGGCCACATGTACCGCAGATATTTACTCCTTCCTCGATTCCAATCTAAGTAAGGGAGCGTTGCTTCGTTTTGGGAAAGGAATGTACCAATGCGCCTCTGAAATCCAGTTTGAGACCCAGATAGACTTATACGGAACAGATCCGTTCAGGAATTCGCCCTGACGGTGGTCGCTATCACCTATCAAACGTTGAGCATGAGAAGAATTGACAGGAAAATTACTAGCAGAGGACTTGTGTCGCAAAGGACGAACGTTCTTTGCGGAACCAAAAAACCCCCCTTATATAGGGCGGATTGCAACAACTTGCTAAAGTTGACCATGGATGAGATTGAGTCGTTCTTCAAGTAGGAAGCAAAATAAAACAACAAAGATGAGTCAAGGTGAAGCGTGCTTGAGGAGACCTCAGCATGCTAACGCGCAGCATGGGCCGACGATGATATCTGTTCAGCCTGTATTTTACTGGGTAGATCATGATGGTTTCTCTGCTATCAATCATCGAAACTTCTGCAGGGAAACAACCAGGCGTATATCGCTTGTCCCCCTGCTATATTAGCTTTGCACCTCATGTACTCTCTAAGCCGTAGTAAAGTAGTCCATGTCAACAACGCCACGCCATTTCCGTGCCCTCTTTACGTTACTAAGGTCAATAGGCACAAGAAGAGAATCCCCACCCGTCAGAGTTACGAAATAAGTTCCTACGCATAAGGGACAATGTGGCAGGACACCTTCAAGCTAGCTCCCGATCACATAGGCGCAATCCGATTCGCTTGCCACGTCGACACCTTTCCTTACTGGGCGGACAAACCATACTCTCAATCTTTTATAAATCTATGTGTAAGCCTCTTTCCTGGCCCATGCTGGGAACACGTGCGTGTGAACCAGTGCCATTGACCTGCCTTCGAAACCCAGTGATCATTCGTTGACATAGGGTTGCAAGAAGCAGCTTCAGGATAGTCTCATAGACGTCATTGACAATCAGTCGAGCCTTGGGGTAGAGTACGTCATCTCACATCCGAGTTGCCGATCACGTCGGGCCATTATCAATCAATCACAGAGGCTGCAAACGTGCGTCGTCTCACAATCCAGAACCCAAGCTGGAGTGTGAAGCAGCCGTCGCAGGTGGTTCCGGAAAGCCCGTCTACCGATCGGCGTCTCGGCTGCGTGGCGCTAAGCAACGGGTAGGGACGATAGCCTAGAAGATCGTCGAGGAGACAGTTAGGACGGCGTTTGAGAAAAGGCGTCTAACGGATGGAGTGAGCCCGCACCATAACGGTCCAGGTCGTGTTCTCAACGTGCCATGTCATGAACGCTTCAACCAACGGCCACGAAGTATTCGTGCAAATTCTTTATCTATCAGCTCGTTGGCAAATGCCGCACCCGACAAAGAATACGCCGCAACAGCCTTCTGGGCCCCCTGATGGAGCCGCTACGTTTGTAGAAAACTCGGGGCACTCACTGGTTGGGCGTGGCTGCAGGTTCGGGTTGATGAGGTTTCGCGGGTCAGGGGTAAGACAGTGCGAAGAGAAATGGGGAAGCCAGCGCGGACAGGGGTTGGATCGGAGAGTTTCAAGGTTTTGAACGCTGTGTGCTGTGTGCTGTGTGCTGTGTGCTTCGTACGAAGTGTCGAGGTGCTACATCGGATGAACCGGATGTTAGAGGCAGCCCGTAGCTCTCGCGATCCGCTTGAAGGGATGCTGTTTGTCGCACCGCAGTGGGAGCCAGTCAAGTATGAGTCGTCCTGGGCGGCTTAAAATCCCTGAACAATATTCGGCTCCGTTGAGACTTGTTCGACATTAAGAAAGTTTCCCTTTAGGAACAGAGTTCTTGATCGCCACGTCAGATACGAACAGTGACAACATGTCCATTGTCAAGGCCATGAATGAACTGGCGATATAGGACGCCATACGCCGCCGCGGCGACACTTCACGACCCTTGGTGAACCGTGATACCTGGCGGAATCGTCTATAAAAGCAATACATGCCTGTCGTAGCACTGTAAGGCAGGGCAACATCTGGGGCAACGCGGGACTAGCGGGCGCGTGCAGCGCAAGAATGCTTGGTTGCAATAAGCTCTACGCTGATCTGGCCGTTTTGGGGGAACGATCTGCTACCGCCAGGCGCATGGCCACGCAGCTGTGAAGCACGACACGGCTTCATCAGGCGCTTGAGCGGGCGAGAAGGCGGCTGCGATCAGATGCTCCAGGGAGAGAGAGGGAGAGCCCTTGTTTGAAGCCCCGCGCCCACGCAGATTCTTGACGCCATCGCTTTTGCGCAACGGGGGAGGCGGGCGGCTTGAGAACGCCACGGTGCCGTGTGTTGCGGAGGGGGCTGGCGATTTGCATTCCTGTGAGACGGGGAGGGTTCGTTCGCCACGATGGAGGGAACGAGGGAGGCAGCGGCTGGAGAAGCGAATGGAAGCCTTTTCGCTGGTTGACTGGTAGATACGAATAGACGAACGGGTGGTTGACCGGTCGTGTCACGATGAGCGACGGTGGCGGGAGCAAGGCCAGCCACTCGCTGGAACCAGCACGACACATTCCCTTACGGCAGAAGACACGCGAGCAAAGCGGCAAGGCAAACGGGACGCTATCGTCTGCCGTGTGTTCCCATTTTGCACTCGCGTTGGCCGTTTTGGGCAATCGGGGAGAAACATGCGCCGACTCTGGGGCTTCCTTCACTTCACTCGAGGGCAATAAAGGTGCAGCCCACACGATGTCGATGAAACTCGCCCGGTCGGGTTGGCCTTAGGCCGCTTGTGCCCTGCGCTTGGAACCCTCCCCCCTGCGATTTCAAGTCGGGGTCGTGTTTGGCCTATCGAGGTCGTCGAGGACGCTCGCTGACACTGACAACCTATCGCGACGACAGGCCAGGTTAGGTCAGATCTCAGCTGAGGTCCGAAGGGAATGGCCAGGCTTCGATCCCAGGTGCAACGTGCAGATTCCGTATGTATCTTTAGAAAGTGGCCGGTAGAGAGAGGCGTCAAAGACGATGGCATTCCTGGTGATGGATGGGCGGGTGGATGATGCATCACCACTTACAAACCGCCGACAATCATTCCTGCGTGCGCCACAACATCAGAGGCCGATCAACGACGAATAAGTTGGGTGGTTCTCCCGCTTGCCCAAACCCAATCTTCCTCGGTCTTTCTCTCTGCCAGACAGTCAGTCAGTCAGTTCGTCTTTTTCCTTCTTCTTCATTTTCCCGCGGTCTGGTCACCCTCTCGTTCACCTTGTCCAAAAAAGCCAGCCCCACCAACCCACGCGTTCAGTTACGAATCCTCACGACGACCACGGCCCACGACCACAACTACGAAGAGCCACGAAACGAAACGAATTGACTTCTTTGACCCGACAGGCTCTCGAGTCTCCACCAATTGGAAAATCCAATCACTGGCTCGGTAGACCACCATTCCGACCGCCGCTGTCATCGAAGCCAAACCCTCGATTCTCGCAGAATCTCGCACCCAACCAACACTCACTCAACACACCCGTCCACACGCCCGTCCACACGCCCTCTCTCTCTCTGTCTCCGAGTCTCACTCATTCCACTCACTCACTCCATCCCGAGCGCCACAGCCAGGGGCCGTGTCCCAAATCCCACCAACT